TCAGGGATGGCACCTGTCACAGAGGTATGTCGCTCTGCAGAGACTTCAAGAAATTGTTTCATTGCTGCTGATAACCTTCAATTTTCAGGCCCCATTAGCTACTACTAGTTGTCAGAGCCCAAGAGTGGCAGTCTATCAGTGAAACTGCTCTAGAGCAAGACAGAAAGGAAATGACAGTTTTGAGTTCTACCTCTCACTCTTCACGGGCCTTTATCATCTTAGGTCCAAAGTCACTACGCCATTTTGAAGATTATTTGGGGAAAAAAATAATCACAGAATCGTGTGGCTGAAGTCATAAGAGGGTGTGACGACAATGTAGGTGTAATCTTGGACACAGGTAGCCAGATGGAGCACCATTGCAATAATTACTGCCCATCATGCCATGCCCATTCACAAGAGAAGACGTATCCGGGACACCTTTCATAGCTTTTATCTTTATTTATCTTTATTTCTGCCAGAATAGAGTTATATTGGTTTCAAGAGACTTTGCCTGCCAGTGAAAGTAGCTGGCTGTGTCACAGCTGACACAAGAGGGTACCACGAGCAAGCTTCCCATTTGACTTGAGGAAGTTAGATAATCTGGTTTTGTTTGAGTAAATTCTCAGACAATGTTTCCTTTCAGATCCCATCGCTACAGCAAAGTTTTAATATGGGTCAAATAAACTCCCACACAAAATGATACACCCACACAAAATGAAAATGCATAAACTCATAATAAGCAGCATTTTATGAACTGAATCAATATAAAAATGTACTGACAGATATTAAAACTAACAGTAAATACCATTTTATAAAATGCACTACTGCTTAATGATAATTTAATTGTATATGTAAAGGTAGTGAAATGGATTTTCCTTAAAATTATGTGCACCTTAGACCCACTGACAAACCTCTGCCAGTTAACATAAAGGATATTAGCCTGTTACTACTACTAGTTACTCCATGAGTGCCCCTGACAGCTCTAAAGGTTTAACCACGCAGACACTTTATGTGTCAACCTGATACCACAGGATAAAATTTGTCCTCTTATTATGCTTCGAAAACCGAGGAAACTGAACGTTAAAAACATACTGAAATATTGAATGTACTAAAAAGTTGCAGTGTTTAGAACTCCAGTTACAAACATGAAAGTAAAAACTGCAGAAAAGCTCAGTTATTCAACCTTAATGGAAATGTTGTGGGGGCGGGAGGGTGTATTATATGGTAATACACAGTCTGCTGCTTTGTCTACCTTCTTGGGCTGGCCCCTGTCGTCATGGCATGAATCACAGCCTAAAGCCTTGCTGGCTCAGAAACTGCCATACTTGCCATTGCAGGATGGGATGCCAGTGGGAATTTAGTGCCACTGCTAATGCTAATGTTGTGTTTATTGCACATGCCTCAGTGCTTCCTAAAACACAGTTAAAGCAGCTTCTTGTTCACTGAGAGCTCAATGCCAACACCAATCTGAAATCTCTGCTTATCAGTGAACCACTCCTCAACTTGGGTGCCCAGCTGAGATGCATTGCTGCTTACCCTGAACCAGGAAAATGCCAGGCTCTATCCCTGTAATGTCCTTCTGAGTATACAGAGTTATTCTGAGTCTGATAGGGAACACAACGCTCTGCCCTCAGTGGTGCAGGACTAATTCACCCCAGCATATCTATTTTTCAACACGTAGTGAGACAAACAGCAGGTTAGGAAATTCCTGGAGCACTGGTTTTGGTGTGAGATAAGTCACATCTCTCTTAAAACAATTATAAAGTGGATTCAAAGAGATGAATCCTTGCCTATGTCTGTTTTTGGTTTGAATACTGTCACGACTGGGCAAGTGAATCTAGGGTGTCTCCCCCCAGTCTATCTTGTAGCATGCTCCAGGTCTTCTCAACAATTTGATATTCAACATCACCAACTTTGAAAAACTTAGAAAACATTTGCAGACAGTTAACTGTGTAATGCAGCATCACATGGGATATAAAGAACTTCCAGAGAAATCAAATAGACCTCTGTCTAGCTCCCGGAATCCCTGAGGAATGTGCACTTTTATATTTGCCATATTACTTTGAAAATGACTACTCAAATGAAACAAAATTTAAGTAAAAAATAAATAAAGCTTTATTATATTCAAACAGAAAGTTAAGGTACTAGTAACTAGACAGGACAAAAGCATGCTCTTACAGCTAGCTGGCACTTTGTCTTAATCTCCACAGCATCTGCATGCCCATTCAGTTAACAGCTGATATGGACAAATTTACAGGCGATAGGACTGCAGCCACATTGACTATGCAAAACCTTATATTCCAGATGCATATCACAGAACAGGCTCCCTTTTCAAGTCACAGTTCAGATAAGAACTTAGAAGTGATTACAGTAGCTCAGACTAGACAGCCATGCAGCTCAGTGCTTTAACACTTGACAGCGTCCAAAAATAGATGCCTTGAAGAAAGCATACGAACAAAGAAAGTATGTAAGAATACTCCCTTAGCTTCCATCAGTGTGCAGTTTGGCATTGCCTGATAAAGCCAGTACCTAATCCCACACAAAGTTTAGCGGAACAAAGTTACCCTTTCAAAAAACCTTCAGTCCATGTGAACTGCTAGAGCGAGGCTGTACAACTGCACACTTTGCACCATGGAGTTGTAGAGCATTTATTTATAAGGTCTGATGCTTACAAACCATTCGTACCATCTCACGGAACCAGGTTAACTGTGTTAGCTACTGCTTGAAGACAACCAGCTGCGCAAACCATAGCATGTTCTCTGATTTACTTCCCCCAACCCACCTTTAAAAGGAGTTAGTTACTTTTCTCCTCACATTTGAAGGTGAGAACACTGCTAGTTTTCCTAGCTTAACTAGGTTTTTTTGGAATTACACTATCTCATGGATTATACATTTTCAAAAGCAGCTGAAAGCAGAGTTAAGGGTGAGATATTAAGGTATGCCTCACCAACCGGTTTGGGGAATTTTGTCACAGTTGTGCCACTTTGCACTTTTTTATTTTCAGAATGCTGTCTCACAGCAGAGTCCATACCCTTAAGTAAAATCAGACCTAAATCTATGAGGGGCTGTGTAAGGTACAGGAACACATGCTCTCTACTCCAGGTAACCTGCAATCCAAGGCTCACTCTCCTGCCATGAAACAAATAGTTCCAGGGAACTTGATGGGATTTTGCACTACAGTTAAGCATATACCTAAGTCTTACCAATATTGGTGCCTACTTTAAACAGCTGGGTATAATTAATGGAGGGTAAGGGTTATTAGTGATAGCGGGATGTTAATTTATGTCTAAACTAATACCATTCCTTTACAGCTGATTTTCAAACCTTTTGCTTTAATTCATTTCCTATTCTGTTTTAAATTTAATCATTTATCCCAGTCTCTTATTTACAATTTATTTTCTGTGCAAACTTAACAGGTAAATAGTTACTCCTGGATAAATAATTCTCCCACAACTAGGTACTGAACTAACATACTGAGATAGAGGTCAACTAAAATTGTGGACAGAACAATTTATGTGCTAGACAAATTGTCTCAACTTTTATTTTGCTGTTCTAAAATGTCAGCTGACTGTATACAAGTTTTGCCTTAAATCACCTTTGTTTTGAGTATACATTGACAGTACCAACAAAATGCATGCGTATGCATTTGCACACACATTTTAAATGATTAGCTGTGGAAAAAAACTCCCAATGTATTAACATCTAATTTATTCACATAGAAACTCTTTGCTCTAACACACTTCCCCACTGATACGAGTCAGTGTTTCATAGCACCCAAGAGCTGCAGACACTCAGCATTTTGGGTGTTAGTAAAAGTTGGGAACAAGAATAAAGTGTAACACTCCACAATGCCATATTGAGGAAATATAAAGCACCTCAGCAACAATTGCTCTGCTCTCCTAGAGAATCAGGTTGCAAACAACCTCCTTTAAGGGAAAAATATTGTAAAGAAAGCGTTTTCATTCAAAAATTTAGAGAGAGAAGGTGAATTTGCTATGCGCTCCTACAACTCCCGTGCTTCAGTTTCAATTAGAAAGACAGTAAAATGAACCCTTTATGCCACACTCAAAAAACTCTTAGTGTTCTGGGATTTAGGCAATTGATTAATTTTTCATATTTAAATAACAATGAGCTGAATCACGAGGGAATATGAATGTATGCATACCGATTTCTGAGTGCCTACTGCTGGTGTTACAGACACTGAGGTAACCTCCTACATCTCTGAAGCGCGCAGCACGAAAATCTCTGGGGAAAATGATGAAAAAGACACCTAGCTCTGCTTGTGTCAAATCGTAGCACCACCGGGGAGGGGTTCACCATCTAGCACCACGCCGGCAAGCTGCGCTAGCTGGTTTCGGCGAGAAGAAAGCCAAGGGCTGACAGGACCTGAGGAAACCGCGGAGGTAGGTGCGCTTTCAGGTGCTATTAGCTCTAATAAGCTCCCCACGGTGCTGGGTGGGGAAAGCGGGCCGCCTTTTCAACGCAGGCCGACCAGAGAGCAAAAGGAGCGCTGGCAGGGGCCTGGTGTGCCCGAACGGCCGCCGCTGAGGAACCGGGTTACCCGCCCCCTCGGGGACGTGGGGGCTGTGAGGAAAGGAGACGTGGTGCTCTGCCAAACGCCGTGTCGGGAGGCCGGCCCAGCCCCAGGGAGGAAGGGCGGGCTGGCAGCGGGGCCCTCAGCCCTTCTCCCGCCTTCGGAGGCAGCCGGTCGGCGCGCCGAGCCAGTGAGGCGGCTCCCGGGCAAGGAAGGGGAAGGCGGGAGCCGCCGGCTGGGGGAGGGCAGCCTCCTCGGGGGGGCGG